TGACACATAATATTTATTATTAAATAATATTTAAAATCAATACTAAAATTATATATAAATATATATAAAATAAATTTATATTTATATATATTATATTTATAATATCACTTTTTGTATTTCATTATATCTAATTTTTATGATAATCTTTTTATTATACTTTAATATTAGTCAAACTAATCTCTTTAATAAAAAAAGTTATTTGAATCAATAATCGCACTTTTAATTTCTCAATAAGCAAACAAAAAAGCATGCAAATTGAAACACATTTATTATAATCTTTCATAATTTATAATTTTTAAAATTAGGGTTAATAAAAATTTGGGCAAAACAATCTTTAATGAATAATTACAATATTTATTATGCTCTAATACCAATTGAAATAATAAAATAAAAAAGTAGTCTTTATAAGGTTTATGAGTGCATAGATCGAAAGTTATATATAATTCTCATTACTTCAATGATGAGATATTCAAGACCCTATGATTACCGCTGAGAATTCCAACTATATGTAGTGACTTTTATGAGAAAAAAAAAGGTGTTAATGTGTATTTTTCTTGTTCTCTCGTATATTTCTTATATATAGTTGTCGGGGAAAATCTGGTAATTATGTACATGCACATTAACCTTAAGAAATTTTTTTTTGTAACTGTTCAAATATAATTATTCTGAGTTTCCTAAATTAATATCCTCTACTCTCATTGCGGGTCAATAGAATTTATTTTAGATCACTTTTTGACTTGAATTTATTTAAATAAAAAACAAAAAGGTAAAACAACTCCCCTACGTTTTCTACAATTATAACCAATGCAGTAGTTGTGACGAAATACGTATCATTAAGGATGCTTGGACTCTCATTCCAACAAAATATACCTCAGAATATTCATTTTGCTCACCTCCTGAATTGGAGGTGTTGTTACTCAAGTTGTGAAAGAGAAATAAAATAAGAGATTATATGCATAATTAATTATATACTATGCAATTCTTGTAAGATAAACAAATTAGGTGTACGGATGCTCTTTGTTTATTAATTAGTTGTTTGATTAATCACGTCTCTGATTATAGACTGTGATGACCCCCCTTTGTTTAAAAAAATGAGCTTAAAGTCATGCATCTATCACTTTATATTATTACTTGTCTCTTTATTAATTGCTCTTAATCGAAAGCCAATCACCTTCTATTAAAGATAAGGAGGGATGAAGAGTTTTTACTTTTGCTTGATTAAAGGTGATGACGTATTCGTTTTCCATGAATAGTATATATTTTCGTTATTCTAAATTTTATGGATTCTAATCTCACTTTCAATCGAATTACAATAAATATTAAAAAAGATCATAATATTAGACCCATTATATACACGTTTGATTGCTTCAACATAAAAGTTAACAGTAGAGAACGCATTTGGTTCTCAAGGAAACGTTTAATTGACCATTGCTTGACGAGCAATTTTGGCACCAACTGCTTGCATGCCAGCTAATAATAACACCTACACAAATATTTATTTATTTTAATCTAGTACATCTACACATATATTTAAAATGATGTATAATTACTCTAGAAACTTCTACACCTCCACGATTTTCCATCTCTCTCTCTTTTAATTTTTTTTTTTAACATAAGCAAACAAGAAAAGAAAGAACGAAATTACAGCCTAATAAAAGGCACTCCCATGACATCGGCCAGCAACAAATGACGCATCCCGGCCGGGGTTGTCCAAAATCACAAGTTCTTTGTTTATATATGTTAGAAGATGGAAACATAAATTTATCAACTAAATAACATCAACAAATAGTAAATTAAATTAAGAAGATAAGTATTGAAAATATTAGGGTTGAAGCACAAAATGCCTTAAGAAAAAAAAAAACTCCACTACATTGGTACTTGAAATTGATGCATCTTTCTCTCAAGATATGTCAATTTACTAAATCAATCATAAATATATTTATATATAGTGAGCGATTTCTCGCACAAATAAATATTGGCACTGTAAAATATTTTTAGTAGTGATATAATTTTGTAATGAATTAGAAATCCTGAATAAATGAGCATCAGTGCTCCAAATTTTTTTAGTATTAGCAGGACTTTTTTTTTTTTTTTTTTTTTAATGAAAGAGATATTTTTCGTCAAATAATTAGTTTTTCATTGCATTCATGTGTCCATTCATTAAAAAAAATTATACCTATAAATGTTTTGTTATTATAAATACAATTATTGTAGATAAAACAAAAATTTTCTTCTATACATAAATATTTAATATAAATAAAACTCAAATACTTATATTTAAAGTTATTTGTTATAAGTAAAACTTAAAAAGATCATTATTATATCACTTACATAATGAATGGATAAATTATTTGTGAGTCAATGTAAAATAAGCATTAATTTTTAAATTTTTAACCTTAAATAATAGTTTTTATCAATTACTAGTAAAAGTGAGACACTCCGCGCCTTGTCATAAAAGAATGAAAAAAAATGTAGTTAAATTTAAAATATTGAGTTAATTATACAAATTAGTTAAAGGATAAAAATATTTTTAGGAAATTAGTTAAGGAATAAAATGGTAAAAAAAATATAGATACCAAAAATAAAGTATCCCTTTATTAGTGTCATAGATTATAGGTTTTTTTTTTCTTCCAGTGATTAGATAATGAGATTAATATAAGTTATGTGCAACACTCGTAGTGGTAATATGTGGCCACCAAAATCGAATAAAATTTAATCTTAAAAACTCTAAGTCAACAAAATTAGGGAATAAAATAAATAAAAAACAAATAACCAAAAAGAGAGGAACCAACTAAAAAGAAAACCTTTAATTTAAAATTTAAATTATGGATAAGAATATTTATCCAACCATATAATCTGGATTATGCTGTATGGTATTCACCAAAAATATTTTCTTAAAAAAGGTGTTGCCCGTGTAGAATTTTATAATTGAATTATATATAACTTTATTACTTCTAATCCATGCAGAGTACGTATGATCTCAGAGTGCGTATTTCTACGGCGTTGGACTCCGAGTCAATATTTTGTCATGGATTTTATTTGTCCTATTTTTTTCTCCTATATTCTCGTGTTAGCTGTCATTTTGATTGGTACTGATAAGATTTGGACACTGCAACACAACCTTTCGTTGCGTGGTTACATGAAGAATAACGAAATGGTTGGTCGAGAAATGAACTGATAATATATAATGAGATATATTGTCGACATAATATATATATATTTTTTATATTTCTCTTTTGACACAATAATTATTATTATTTAATTAAAATAAAATATATAAATTAGTGATATAAATATAATTTGTTATCAACATTTGATTTGAGTACCAAGAAACGACAAAAAGCAACATTCACACTAGAACAAGTGAAACATTAAGTAATACTTTACATAGTAATAACTATAATAATCGATATTAACTAGCCTTATGGTTTTGAAAAAAAGAACTAAGGATATATTTTCCAAAACCGTTACCGTTTTCCCCAAAAAAGCACGGATACCCCAACCCCACCCTACTGCACCTTTTACTACTCTTAATAATTTGCAGAGACAACAAATTAAGACAAGTTACTGCCTTTAGTGTATTTAACGGAGGCCGAATTGTGATTAGTTAACGTAGTTATTGGTGATGAAAGGTTTATTCGGTCTCGAGAATATGGCAGGGCCATGCAGAGGAAAATGATTGCAATTGTTGGAAAAGCAAAAGTTGATTTATGTTGGCCAGTTTTTGGAGTAGCAGGGTTCTTTGGGACCGGAGCCACTCGTTTTCGGTTCGTAGGCGGTTACAGTGGTGAAGGAGGAAGTGCAAGCCGTTGTTCAGTTCGCGGTTCTCAACCCTAAACAGGTTCACCTGGTTCCGTAAGTTCTCTAAGTGTCTCTGTTTACGCATGCGTGACCTTCGGGCCGATTCCCGGTTCGAAAACATTCGCCTGCGTTTTCGCTCCTCTGTCACGGACGCAACGCGGTTCGACTCGTCCGAGGCCGGTTTTTCAGGGGTTCGGTTGGGGTCGTCCGAGCCGGAACTCGAAGTGACGGTGGGCTTGGAGCCCAAAAAGTGAGGCCCATCCCAGTCCAAGGCCAAGGCCCGGAATGGGCTTCCGCTTCCCTGAAGAGCAGAAACAGAAAGCATGGTTGGAAACTAAGGAGGGGGGAAAAGAAGGAGGGAGAAAGGGAAGAAACGCAGGTTAGGGGGGTCGTATTTATTGACGCTTCGTAGGGTTACCATTACGCAATTAGTAACCTTTGGAGGGGCATTTTGGGGAATGCACTAGCTATGTTTGTACATGGCATGGCTTTTGAGTCAGTCGGCACTAGGGTGGTGGGGTTATGCACATTATATTACTTTTTTATAGGGTGACCTCAGCGGTTGGGGGCCCTCGAAAAGATTGGATTTTAAGCTTAGTCATGAAGGTAAAATTACTAGCTGGAATTCTCTTATTGGGTGTTTCTATGAGTGTCCAATGATTGGGAGGGTTTATGACGTTGATCCACCGTTCTTATTTCTTAGCCAAGCCGGAGCTAGCAGGTGTTATACACATTCACTCATACAGTTCTAGGTTAGGATAGTGTGGACACAGCACCACTTCAACAAGCTCATTGTTCATTGATTCATGACATCAAGGGTGAAAGCTCCGGTTAGCACTAGGGATAAGTGACGTCCAATTAGCCTCTTTTAATATTCTAAATTCAATGCCCAACCGTTTAATTTAAACACAAGTGGCCAGTTTTGGGATAGCTCATCACACCCACGCCCTTGTGGAGTTCAAATAAAATAATATCTCTCTATCTCTATTTTTTTGTAGGTACATATATCTGATATCGATCTAAGTATCTCTACGTATATATGATTAATAATGTAAAGCATCGTTTAATTTTATTAGGTTTATCCATCTGCCAGTGCCACTTTGTTTAAAGACAGCAAAGTCGTTAACCGCAATTGTAAAATTAATATACACGAAAAGAAGTGGTTGACGAAATTCGCTCTATTTTTCTTCTATTATACTTTTTGCTAGGGCGCAGGATGGATAATCTTTTTATTAAACAACATGCATGATACATATTTCCATTGAAACATAGACATGCGTGTCTGCTACGGACGCACGTATTCAACGCGCTTCTATGGAGATGGCAATGCAACTACGTATGTGAGACAGGCAATCGTTGGGAGAATAAAGCTACTCAAAGTCTGAGCTAGGAGAATCTCTAGGTTGCTAGAATCATCATAGGAGTTGGGAAAGAAGGTTGGAAAAAGAATATAAGAACGACGATTATCTTATTTCATTTGAGACAAATCTTTTTCTGCTTTCTCTCTCTTTCCCATCC